CTGACTTAAATGGTCGCTCTGAATTGCCCATAGGTGTAAGTAGGGCCGAGCGATATGACCTCAAATCAATATCTCGGTATATTGAGCAGTTCACCTTGATAACGATAAATAGACAATAACTACTTCACAAACTGCTCACCTCCTCCCACATTAACTTCGTCTACTTCAGCCGCTCAAACTTTTGAACTGTCCTCTATCTCCTCACCTGTCTGTCCCTCTTTGTTAAGGACGGAATGGGGTGGAGTCACATCTCTGATGTAGGACAGCGTCTTAAAGGGATATGAGACCATAGCCTACCTACACACATCCAAAACCAACTTTTATTTTTTTGTTTTTTTTTGACACCAAATATACCGATATGGGGAATATGAGATCAGTTTTTGTAGTAAATTTCGCTATAGGTAAATTTTCGGTTTATCGCCCAGCCCTAGGTGTAAGTGTGTGCAGGAGTAGTTGGTCATCTGTATATATCAGCCCCGTGATGGACTGGTGACCTGTCTAAGGTGTACCCAGACTCCAGCCCCTCTGGGACCCCATAACATGTATATATAATAAAAGCTGTGTATAATATATTTCAGTCTTAGATTACAGGGGAACTCACTCACTGTACAGTACAGTCTGTCTATATAAAGAAATACAGAAGTGACAGATTTATCATTATGTCAGGGGTCAATACACTTTCTCAGGGGTTGACAATGTTACTTCAGCTCGCCATCATATGATCAGCTGTGTACGTCATGCAGACAGTTCCCTGCTTAAACAGGAAACTACTCAGCACAAACTCAGTTCCACTGTTTGAGAGCAAGGAGAAATAGCGCCGTTTAAAAGACCAGCATCCACGAAAGGTACTTTTCAATTCTTTTCTTTAAGAAAACTTTTGAGTAAGAAATAAGAGCCAAAGCATCCAGATTTGGTTCATCCCAGTCTATCTCTGTAATATGAATGATGTATGCCTGATTATTTCTGTCTATGTGACTGTCACTGTGTCTCATTGTCTATGTATTGCCGGTGAAGCACGCCTGCTTTTTCCTCAGAAGTGTCTGAGATGTGTTAGACGTCAGAAAGGCCATGCTGCCCCGGATATCCCTTTGATGTCATCTGTATCACCTGCTCTACAGTCACATTCTGAGTGTGCGTCTATGTGTGTGCATTCATGTGAGCGCATACTCTGAATCTGTCCAACATGACGGCATCCTGCTGCGACCCAGTAAACATTCTATTATAGAGTTATCACCATCACATTTGAGGACCCTTAGTTTGTTCACATGCAGGGGCCATAAAATCTATTAATGACAGGCCCCCCTGGGATAAAGAATCAGAGGGTCATAAGTATGCAATGCTTTTCTATACAAAGGCCTCTAAAAAGGGACATACTAGTGCAGCGTGTATGGATTTATGCGTCTGAGCATTTTTGCACAAACTCTCTCTCTCTTGGTGTACATTCAGTACCTTTTGTTGCACTCAATACATCAAGGGAAGGTGGTTGACAAGCGGCCCCAGCACCTTCCTTGAGAGCGAGCCAAATTTTCCAGAAGCTTTCGGAGTTCCATCGCCGTTGTGTTTGCAGAAGGCAGCTCATCTCTTTCGGCAGATCTATATTTACAGGACGATAAATTATCACAGATCTAGTTCATTGGTACACACACACAAACACACACACACACACACACCACGCATATTGTGGCTTGTGTGTCCTAGGAGGACGGTGTATTTTTAGGGTCTGTGTTGTATCCTGACCTTTTGTTAGCTTTATAGATAATGCTTTTGGATTTTCAGCTGATTATCATTTATACAGGCACTTCGGTCAGGTCCTTTTATCCTCACAGATACTTACAAGAAGAAATTAAGAGAGTATTAACCCATTTGCAATTGACATCTGGCAAAAAACAAAAATAAATGAACGTCATAGAAACGGGTAGTTTCAGAAAAACTGACGACATTAATTATCTCCTCAAAAATGAAACCAGCAGAGCTAACACGGCAGACACGGCACAGAGCGATTCTCTTTGGGGCATGATTAAATTCTTTTGCAGTTTACGTTTCTGGCTTTTTATGCCTTTATAAAGAGGATAGGACGGTGGATGGAGCAGATTGGGAAGATTGAAAAGATTGAAGTAGATGCTACAAAGGGCCAGCCTGACGTTGCCAGACCAGTTGACTTTGGTGACAATGGTGGATCCCTGTTATCGTCATATAGAGCCCACTTCATTTTTAATTAAAGGACTGTGATTGGGTTGGATGACTGTGAATGACTTTGCCAGCAAAAATTAATATGAGCTGGCTGATAGTCCGGCAAAGCCATGGCAGCAAGTTGGGTTTGAGCATGGCAGAGTCTTCTGGTAAAGTTTCTACTAATGTTGATAAAGAAGTATCTGCATGCAAGCACAGCCAATACTGTCTTCTTGAACAATAAACAGCTCAGTGTACATGGCTGCTTATCAAACTGATAGTCTGACAGTGAACAGGAGCAAAATCATGGAGAGGAGAGTCCAAGCTGGAGGTCTTTTCTGTTTAGCTGGAAAATAGACAGAGCATCTATTGGTCCTGAGGACAAACTTCATCACGATGATTGTTGGGTTTTAAGGTTGAGAGTGATGCTGAATTGGTAACAATTGAATCTTATGAAGAGGCAGAAACCTCAGGCCAAACTAGACTCATGGATGCGCAGCCATCTGCCGAAAGAAGGGGAGGCAGGAAACACAATGTAAAGCTTTCAATCCTTGAGAAACGATCAATGCCACACATCTTTCCGTGATTTGCTTCACTTGATCTGCCTTCTGTCTTTGTCCTTTCCCACCTGTCCTTTGTTCATATTCCCTCAGTGTGAGTCTGCCCCTGTGTGTCCCATCAGTATGGGCACTGGTCCAGGTCTGAAACAGGCAGTCCTCCCCATTCCAGCCTGCCAGGGGATGGGAATACACGCTGAGCTCATCCCTGAGCTGCCTGACTGGTGACAGCCTACAGCACAACCCCCACAGGGGACACATTACTGGGACATTAGTCCAACTCTTCCACCTTGAGTGTGTGCCTCTTGCTTGCCTCTGGTTCATTTAGCTCTGCAGCTTTTTCCTTCTGAAGTAATCCTGAGTGATTATATTGTATCAACACAGAAATCAATTGAATTTGTGGAGAACCGCTGCCTCTGTAAATCTCACCTTTATCCCTCCTTCACCCCAGTGCAGCTTTCAAACAGAGCAACCCCTGTCAGTATTTTTCCTCTGCGGAGATGGTTGCCAGATTGGATTTTATACATCAGGGCAAACTTTTCCTCCGACTCCGACGGCACTTGACTCTGTTATTGTTTATGAGGAGAAAGCTGAGGTCAAGTTCACAGGCTGGGATAGAGAGAGAGAGAGAGTCTGTTCCAGCTCCAGCCCCACTGGAGAGAGCATAACTCAGCCATGTTTGTGCTTCCCTAATTCCTTTTGATTTAGCAGAAAATTGTGAGCTAAGCTGCTCTGCGCAAATACTCACCACAGCTGAGCTTCTTTGTCTCACCTAGCGGCCTCACACAAACCTGTGGCCACTCTAGTCGGTATGTTTGAGCATGTGCCTGTCTGAAAACCCTTAAAAGTGTTCAGAGTGTGTGTAGGCATGTGTGTTTGTGTCCCATTCTGACAGCAGCCAGCCTGCTGAGCTGTAAGCAGAAATATAAACGTCTCTAAAAGGAGCTTAGGTTTAACAGCAGCTCTGGCATAAACACTGGGACTGCTTTCTCAAGCTTTTGATGAAATAACAGTTTGGGACAGCTAAAGCTGACTCTAATAGGTCCAATTCCAATCAGGATTTTCCTGATTTGTTTACTTGTTTGTACTACTAGGTCAGCTGAATCAAGTATAGAAGTCTTAATCCAATATCACAACTTCCCCACTGAAGTTCAAGTCTACGCCGGTGAAAACTGTGAGAGTTGTTGTCTATGAAGAAGCTGAAAAGTAAACTTGAAATCTGTCAGGAGCCATTCAAGGACAAAGATGACTTTTAAAAGATTTTGATGATGGATAACAGTGAACTGCAAAGCCTGAAGATAACCTCAGGACAAGCGCAGAAAAGCATGGGAAAGAAAGGTAAGGATGGTTGCACTCTAGGGACTATGAACAATGTCTGTGTGCATGTGTGTGTGTGTGTGTGTGTGTGTGTGCCAATGTGTGTGTGCATGCTTTATTTGAGCGCTGTCTCAGCACTCTCTCTTTCTTACACATGTGGTTCATATTTAAGCCATAATGCTGTTCCACTGGCCGATTTTTGGCTCTGTTCTCTCAGTCCCACATTCCCAGCTTTTTTCTCTGACTTTTACTTCAGCTGAGATTTTTGCTGGTTGACGGCTACATGGATGACAAATTATTTAGACTGATCATAAGATTAATACATTTAGTAATGCAACAGATATACATATTCTGCATATTATTATGGAGAACTAAATATGAGGTGAGTTAGATTTTTTCAAAGATAGTTTTATTTTTGGAAAAGAATGAGGAATGGAGTGGAAGAAGTAAAATCATATCATAATGTGGATTTGATGAATGTAATATCATATAGTTTATAATGTTGTTACATTTTGGGCCAAAGCATATAATGTAATATAGCCTATTCTGGTAAACTTATGATTCTGACCCTAACCTTTGACGAAAATGCATCTAACTTTAGTGAGTGCATCCATACTACTTACTTGATTTTATTCTGCTGCACAATTCTTCTTAAAAATCCCTTAAAATACGAAAAAGCATTACCCTCCAATTCATTATCCCATTTGACCGGGTGCCAAAAAGGTTTAAACAGTTTTTGTCGGTGGTCTCAGGTAAACTACTCATCTTTCTCAGCAGCATCATTCACCCCTCATCCCAACAAAAGCGCGCACACCTCACTCCATGCCTCTGTATATCTCCTTCCTCGTCAAACTCTGTAACCTCTGTATCTGTCCAATGGGCGTGAGAGGAGCTGTCAGCGGCGAGCCCTCCCTCATCTCTCTCTCTCTCTCTCTCTCTTCCCCCCCTCCCAGCTCTGACTCTGTCCACAGCGCACTGATAAAGGAGAGGTGCGGTGCGAGCATCCGACCCAGCACAGAGTCAAAACTGCAGCGCATCTGTAAAACCAGTGATACGGATTTCTGCTTCAGTCCTGAGCAAAGACAGGTAAAGCAAGGATCAGTGTTTAGGGGAGCTAACTGAAAGGAAGAAAAGGAAGCCACACTTGTTGCTCGTCTCGTCAGGTAAACGTCCTGTCTGCAGCCACAAGAGCTCAGCGCAGAGTCTGGTGCGCACATGGCACAGGAAAGGCGCTCCTCCTCACACTCCTGACAGTCGCGCGCTTGATATGAAGCCACACTGGATAACGAGGCCTACCTGTTGACCCTGCACATCAGACCGTATCTGCTAAAGTTGGGGATTTAACCCAAAAAGCTAAGATCTCTTAACAGTTTGGGAAACTTCACTAGAGCCGAGACAATGCTGGGTTTAAACCGGATTCTGAGCCACCGGGCAGCCCGGATCCGGAGCTGCGGTTCGCCGGGAACCAGACCTTCAACTCGGTCTTCTTCATGCCATAACCCTGGTGCCAGCTCGAGGATTTACTGTGCGTGTGTGTTGCTGCTGCTGCTGGTCACGCCTCGAGTGGACTCCTCATGGTGGTGAGTTTATCGCATCTATCACAAAAAAAACATTCACCTGCTTGCTTTCAAGATTTATGAGAACTGACTTATTATTATTATTATTATTATTATTATTATTATTATTGTGGCTAAGTCAATGCCACAATATTTAAACGGGTCATGATTGATCTTAATTATTCAAAACGAAGCTGGGACTAAAGCCGAGCTCTGAGTTTTTCGTTTGAAACTTCAGGGATTTTTACTGAATTCAACCTCAAATTATTTTCCTCTTAATAGACCTTTTCCTACTGCAAAAAAGGGAGGTCCAATTAATCAATTTATAGTGCTTTTCCGTCGGTGTTTTTGCTGCGCAGAGCTGTTGGCAACATTTTCAGTCGAGTAAATTATCTCTCCAAATTGCGCATTTTTGCGGTAAATCCTCATAACGCACTGGAGCCCGTTAGATGTTTGAGACTATTATTCGTCACGATTGAGTTCATTGCCTCGTGATTTCCTTATGAGAAATGACAGCAAAGAAAAACTTGAAATGTGTTTTTCCGTCATCAATTAATTTGAGCTAAAATTAAAGAAAAATGTGAAGAATTACTGGAGTATCATAAGCGTTAATTATCCCCAACACCCTTTGGAGAGTCTGATTTAAGCGTCCTCAGGATTATGTTTTTAAAATGCATTTTCTCCGTGTCACTTTGTTGGCCTGCCATATCGAGCAATAATAATAGAGTGATAAACGTAATTTATGTCGGCGCTGCTGGCTGAGCGCGTGTTCAGCTCAGCTGGAGGCTGCATTCAACAAGGCAGAGCAGTCATTAATTCACCAGGTACCGCGCACACACACGCAAACACACACACACTTCACTAAAATACCCCAAAGCCAGCCATCTAGAGCATAGGTGAGGGGTGAAAAAAAATGCTCATTGCCTGCGCAATAACATACGTGAAAATGTCCGTGTGTGAGTGTGTTTATAGGAGAAGTGTCTGTGTGTGGGCGGGTATGGGGGTGATGGAATGCCTAATAGTTTGTGTAGATTAAAAGCAGTTATGGGGAGTAGTGGGAAGAGTGTGTGTGGAGGCTTTAGCGAGGCATTATTGGCTTTGAGGGGATTTGAGTGCAGCAGATACAGTATTTGACTGTTTATCAAGTTTCTGTGGGTGTACAGTATGTGATGATATGCACAGATCTGAGGCTTTCAAGCTTCAGCTAGGGGGGAAGATTGCGTGAATATCCCAGTAACCACTAACAAGTGAGATAAGACATGTGTTTAATGTAGAACTTAAACAAGCGCAGATGTATTTTCTACATTTAAAGAGGAGGATCAGATTTTAGTAATTTGTCAAAACCAGATTTGTCGTTTGTTGTCATGAAGTTGTTATTTGCTGCAAATTTGTCAAGAAATTTTAATGGAAAAGTCGCAGGATTTATTATTGAAAACCCGTAACAAAAACCTTTTTTTTTTTTTTGTGATTCACTATTGCTAATACAATAAATCCGACACAGGAAGAGCTGCTGCTGTATCATATCAGGACTCTTCTCTAATCGTCTCCCTCTCGTGCTTTTTCTGTGATTCACAGTAGAACCTGAGGCTTTACAGCATGTTGTTTTAGACCTGTGGATAGTGATTTACTGTCCTATAAAATCCACAAGTCCTCCTGCCTCTCAGAGAGAATTGAGTGTGAATTGCTGCTCTGGCTCTTCCCTTTGATGAGCACTCTCTGTTCTTATTCCTCTTCCTTAATCCCACTCTGGGGAGCAGAGAGCCTCCATCCTCTAACCTGGCCTCGTAAAAACTCGACCACACAGCTACATGCTCCCTGACCTCCCCTCTCGCTGACCTGGCCAAGGCCTACAACCACCGAGCTGCACACACACACACACACACACGCTCAAAGCGGGCATGCTGTTCAGTTAAGAGTTTATCCCAGGCGAGCTTAGTGCAGAACTTCAATTTGAAGGAGTCTGTTTTATTACACCAAGGAAAAAGATTGGATGAAGCGTACTGGAGAGCTGTGAGCAATATGAGAAAGAGAGCGAGCAGGCAGAAGACCGAGAGCAGAAGAGTGAGTAAATGGGGGTCTTAGTTTGACAGGGTTATTGGAGGCCCCAGACTCGGCGCTCTGATTTGTGACGACACGATTCCGACAATCCCATTGGGGAACATTTAAACACACATACACACACGGTCTTGTGGGGAGAGGTTAAGTGCTTATTTATTTGGAGAGCGGAGTAAATGGTTTCCCACTCCCCTCCCGCTCGCAAACCTTAAACTGTTAAGTGTAGTGAACTCTGACTCACTGAGGACTGTTACTGCAGCTTGCTTTTGCACCACTCACCGCCTCAGAGTCTGTGTATCCATGTGAATCCACCGACCACGTGGGGTTGCTTTCATATACCAATTAAATCCAATATGCCTTCAATCATGGCTGAACTGGGTGATATAAATATCAATCATTCTAAAATGAGCCAGCTTAGAGTGGATTCAGAATTTCTTTGGATTTTCTGCAGGTACATTGGTGCACTAGGGGCCCGTGTGATCTGCGACAACATACCCGGATTGGTGAACAAACAGCGGCAGCTTTGCCAGCGCCACCCTGACATCATGCAGGCTATCGGTGAGGGAACTAAAGAGTGGATCCGAGAATGCCAGCACCAGTTCAGGCACCATCGCTGGAACTGCAGCACGTTGGACCGTGACCACACTGTGTTTGGCCGTGTCTTGTTGCGGAGTAAGTCCATTTGTTTGCCTGTTCTTGTGACCATCTGTTACTCTCTCCCTCCACATTTTCACCCCTCTTCTTCTTCTTCTTTACTTTTACTGTCTTATCTCTCCTTCCACCATCTCCCCCTTGCTCTGGTCTTTATCCAGTTGTACCTTCTCCTGCTCACGTACAGTATGCTGAAGCTCGGTGTTTATAGTCACTAATGGACTGTTGCAACGTCTTATGCCTCGTCAATAAACACACCAGCTTAAAGACCTGGCCTTATCACTATTTCGTTTTTCTACTCTTGGCAGACTACTCTGCTTTGTTACAGATTCATACCTACACTTATATGTACACAAAACAGACCGAAATATGACAAATTATTTCCCTTTATTCATTTTCAATGCCTGTCAGAAGAAAGGAAGGGCCTTTGTCAATTGTTTCCGGGGAAATGAGTCACAATAATTTATAGTTATTTGAAAAGTATAAGGGCAGAAAAGCAGGATGAGACTGAGTAAAATAAAGGTACAGTCCAGACCTTGTCTTTTTGTAATAATTCTATTTAAACAAGATTAAAACATTATTGAGGCAATTAGAGGACAATTTCAGAGGAGAGATAACATTTAAAACTATATCCACCTCTGAAATAGCAACAAATTGTAAGTTCCTTTTTAGATAGATGGAGGAAGGGTGCACAAAAAATATCCTGTTCTAAATGAAAAACATGGTTTGACGTCTGTTTTTTGTGATTTTCTATAAAATTACTGTTGCTTTTTAATGCAGATCAAAGATGCACTGGTGCACCTGTAAGTCACCGATGCATGCAGTGCAGCAAGTTAAAATAATCACTCAAAGATGCCGCTTCTTAGGCTTTACTGCAAAGAATTACACCCTCTCTTTATGCTTTAAAGCAGGTGGTCAGAGTGTACCTGTGCTCAGGTTGTACAAAACGCGATGCTTGTCTCCACAGACTCAGTATGACATCACTTACTCATCTATGTGTGGGGGCTGATGGTGGATGGAAAAACGGAGCTGATATGGAGATACAGGCTGCGCGTGTGTTGGAAATGAATAAACAGTGATGCAGATGTAAATATTTAGAGAGATATTCTCACTGTCACACAAACAGCGCAGGTTTGAATGATGACCAGCAATGCCCCTCTCCATCCTCCCCCACATGCACCCCCTCCACAGCACCCTCTGCCCCCTTCTCCTCACCCCAAAGATGGAATAGGACATTCCAGTGAATACACAGTGAGCAGGTTGGATCACACAACATCTTTAGACCTCTGAAAGAGAGAAACTAGTCCTGTGTTTTGAGAAAGAAAAGTGTCCCACACTTGCTCATTCATTGTCTGTTAATAATCAGTTACTTTTAAGGTGTTGTTGTGAAGTGCTGGAGCTTGATCACTACCTTTTAAACATTTCTGAAGATAATTTTGCTTCACTCTGAAGTGTGACTTCTAATTTAAGTCCACAAAAGTTCTTTGTATGTGTGTAAGTGTCTAAAGAAATGGTTTATCCTTTGGGATGCTCAATGTCTTTAGCCATATATATCTTTTGCCTATTACATAATGAAAAAATGGCTTTAGAAAATAAGTGGATGTAGTGTCAGAGTGACATCACCTATATTAGTGTGAAGTGAAGTTTTGAAGCTTTTCGGCAGTGGTCACCATATTGGCAGTAATGACTCAACCTAACAAAAAGCAGGCCTAAAGCCTGCCATGTCAAGTCATCCATGCCTCCGATTCACATATCAGAGGCACGGATGTGACTTTAATAACCTCGAAATATACTCAAAACAAATAAATTCACTTCCTGTTTGGTGGGTGCCATAGAAGCCTCAGGCTTTCTTGGCTTCGTGTGTACGTGGTCTCTGGGGCTTCTGCAGACAGCCTCAAGCTGACATCCAGAGAACTGCAATTTTTAGCACCACTACATCGGCTTCATTTATCAAGACCAGAGGTTGCCATTTTGTATGGACCGTTTGAAGAACTGGTGTCCCAGTTAGCTCACAATATAAGCTCGAGGGAAAACAATGGAAAAGTAGAGTGACATACAAATCAGCACCACAGGGTTGTCGGCATCTCAGGAGTCTTAATATGTCTTCTTGTTGCATTGCTGGGTGCAAGAGTAGATGAGGACAAGACAGGGAGTGACCTCATATATTCAAAGAGACCTGTGACATCTTGAGCATTGTTGAAAACAAGGCCTGCAAGCTGGTTAATATGTCTTGAGAACTTTTTAGCCTCCAGCTAAGCCCCACCCATCAGAAAGAGAGTTTATACCTGAATAGACTTTTCATTTCAAATCAGATTAAACCATTTGTCTGTTTATTTTGTTTTATATTTTCCAAAAAAATTATATTTCCATTGTCTATAAAAAAATTTTGACCATTGCTTTTTGTCATATTTCTTAGCATTACTTCCAGATGATTAATCTTCAGGGGTCAGGCTGTGAACAAACCCTCATGTGCCAATAAAATTTTACCGGAGCTCAAGTCTTACAGCTGCTGAAATACCTAAAGCTGCTCCACAAAACAAGAGAGGGATTCTTTTGGCTTTACTAAGTGGACACGTGCATTTTGCTGCAATGTATTTGTGTTTTTTGCGAATGGACAAGAGCAACAACAACCAACTCTATATCTAGTTATCTATGTATCTTTCCCTTCATCATAGTCATGTAATGTAGGACTGGGAGACGGCATAGCTCGGCGATGGTAGAAAAAGCCGTCATGACCTAACCCTGGCACTGATTAATGGAGTATCACTGTGTCTGTGTTAAACAATTTATGTGAGCAGAGGAGAGCCCCGCAGCAAGGATTATTTCCATGATAATATTTAAACAGAGCTGTCCTATTCTCCACATCGGGCCAGATATGCCCCCGTCAGCTGCACCTTAATGTCCTGATGGCTCACACCCAAGACCTATCCATAGCATTATGATTATCTGTGTATGAATGCGAACATATGGGCAGCACAGCTCAAAGAGTTTAGATCTTCTGACTCCTCTGTATCGCAGTATCTGAACAACTAAAGTTTCTATATCAGTAATGAATCACGTTGACCTTTACCCCACTTATGTTCGGTTCTTGCCTGTGTGCTTTCTCTTTCTTTCTTAGGCAGTCGTGAAGCAGCGTTCGTCTACGCCATCTCTTCAGCTGGCGTGGTGTATGCGCTCACTCGTGCTTGCAGCCAGGGAGAGCTGAAGACCTGTAACTGTGACCCGCACAAACGCGGCCGAGCCAGCGATGAGAGAGGAGAGTTCGACTGGGGCGGCTGTAGCGATAATATCAACTATGGGATAAAGTTTGCTAAAGCCTTCATAGACGCCAAAGAGAGGACTGTCAGAGATGCACGAGCACTGATGAACCTACATAACAACCGCTGCGGCAGAACAGTAAGTGTGTCATCATAACAGTGGCAGTTTCCCACAATACACACACAAAAAATCACATTATTCACTGACATCTAACAGTAGAACCAGTTATGCGGATTTTTGGTTTGTTTATTAGTTTCATACAACTTAAAAAGTATTGATTTGTTTCTCACCTGCATCCCTGTTTGTATCTCTAGAGATTTGCAGTGTTTTATGGTTTAAACAGTTGTGTTCAGTTATTTCCTGATATGGTTGTTGCATAACGATATTTCAGCAGCATAATAAATGGGACTTTTATTGTGTAGACTTTATCAAAACTAAAACGTGTCAGAGTAAAATTAACTGAGTTTCAGAGCAGCTGTGATTTTCAGTGACACTAGAGTATGTTTAGTTGCTCGTTTGACAGCCACAGCCAGTCTGCTTCTATAAAACATCTTGGATGAGCAAGTCATCATTTAAATCTCAACTTCAAGCAGGTAAACCTGTTGTCATGGAGATGCAGATCCTTACTACACTGGGCTCATGTCAAACTGAGTCAAGCCATCCCAGCACATAGGCTTTGTCTAAGCAGCTGACTGATTGTCAGGTGGGCACACCCACGATTGCTGTGCCACAGTTTAGTTTCATTATAAACACTGACACCTGCTTTGGCGTGGGGAGGAGGTGGCGCCCTTTGGTTAGTGAGCGCAAAGGGTCACCTGGCTCTGCTCTGAAGTGTCAGGCAAAATAAGCATAAGAGTGAGATTTAACTGACACTGATGTTTGTTGCAAATGTGTTTATGTGCAATATGTAAAACTGCTTTACCCACCAAAAAATAAAATAAATAAATAAATAAATAAATAAAGGGAAAGAAAATGAACATTAATAAGTAAACACTGTTCATCTATTTTTATTTATCAAAGCAAGCCAATCCGTCTGACTGGATGATACAAACTAAAAAAAATATGTAAAAGTATTGAAAGGGACCATGAATAAATTTTATTTTTTCATTTGGAGCTTTGGCATAATTATAATAATATCACTAAACTAAATGGCAGTCTTTCCTTTGTTGCACTGTAGGAATTTTACTCATTAACTAAAGGATCTGAGCACCTTACAGAGTTATATATTTTATTACAGGCTGCAAATATAATTAATTATTTAGCCTAATCGAGCCTACGTTTCTGTATTGCCAGGACTTGGAATCGATGTCTCTGTTTAGTTTGACACGCTTGTTCACACTTGTTCACTTGTGATTCCTAAAGCCTCTCCATCATTGAGCAAATGTCGTTCCTTGGCTTTCAGACTCACACACAAACACACACCTGGCTCCTCTTCTCTCCCTGCTCTCCTCTCTCCACCTGTGGCTGCATGATATACAGCTGTGGCACAACATATACTTATATATATATATGGGCACAAGATTGTTTGGTCTCCAATATTATACTTTTATAATAATTGAAACCTCTTTAATCATCCAGTTCTAGTTGATAGGTTGAACAAATTTGCCTACTATTGATATTTAATACTAATATTCAGTGGGATGCAGGTGCTTGTTTTTAATTCTACTTTGCTTTTGGGGGATGTGAATCACCTTCGTTCATGCAATAAAACCAACATGTGTGTGTTTCTTCTTCAATGGTCCTCTTACAATCTCGATTCCTCTCTCTGTATTTTAGGCAGTCAAGCGGTTCATGAAGCTGGAGTGTAAATGTCACGGGGTAAGCGGCTCCTGCACGCTGCGAACGTGTTGGATGGCCATGTCAGACTTCAGAAAGACCGGCGACTACCTGAGGAGGAAGTACAACGGCGCCATTGAGGTGACAATGAATCAGGATGGGACAGGCTTCGCTGTAGCTAACAAAGCCTTCAGGAAGGCCACCAAGAACGACTTGGTCTACTTTGAGAACTCTCCGGATTACTGTCTACAAGATAAATCAGCAGGTAAGAGAAGAAGAAGAAGAAGGTGGACCTGACTGAAAGTCAGAGTGGCAGTTTCTCATGGGTGTTGATGGATTGCCCTGACTTTTATGTTTTGGGGGATGATATGTGTATATTGTGGATATGTTCATGCATGACTAGTGTGTTTGTGTGTGTGAATGTCACTGAGTGTGTGTGAAATGGTGGTCAGATAACACAACAGGCCTCCCCGTGTGATGTCTGTGGAAGCTAATATCCTTGTACCCTGGAGGCATGGTCGTTGTGTGACCACCTGACCTCTATCAGTCTCTGTCAACATACACACAAACACACATTTACACACTGAAAGTGTTGATCAAGCTTTACACAATTCACCAAATTGGTTGTAATCAGCCTGAATGGTTGGCAGATGGATGGATAGATCTGTTAGGAAGACTTTAACCATGTTTGACATCACTCTGTCCAGTTCCTCCTCACTCTTGTTTCCTCAATCTACCTCTCCTTTCGTTCCTCCATCTATCCGTCCATCCATCCATCCTCCCCCTCTTTCTCACCTTCCCAGTGGAATCCACAGCCTAGGGACACAAGCAGCTAATTTAAAAAAAAAAAAAAGAAAAAGAAAAGAAAAAAAAAAGAAAATCACTTCTTTCTGTCTGTCACAGTCTCTCCCTCTCTGTCTGAGCTAAGCGTAGCTGGAGGGCAGAGTGGGCCTCAGAGTGTGAGAGCCTGTCTGTCTGTCACGCTCCACTGTCCATTTAAACCTCACACACACACACGCACGCACACTCACACACACACGCACACACAAGTGGCTTCAAAGGGAGCAGTGGCTTGGGAAAGGCAGTGTAACTATAGGCCACTCTACCAACACTGCATAGTTGTGTGTGTGGGTCTGTTGTTCTACGGGCAGCTTGTTGTGATAGGTAGCAGTTCAAACAAGGAGCTTCTCACACGAAGCACCAGCACTAATCTCTGTGGGGATGACATTCACATAAGACAGACAATATGCCACTGCATTAGGTAATAGCCAGACCGCTAAACACTCCATAAACACTGCTTCACACTCAACAACTGTATCCTCCATGCAAGGCTGCTGCAGATCAAATCACTGATACTGAAACTGACGAAGAGCTTAAGTGACATTTAAACTTCAGGGTCCTCTTCCATGAAAGCAGTGACATTTGAGAGTATATCTCGAAATTCTGCATAGAAGTACAAAAAGTAGGAAAATTTGGCGTTGGAAGTGTGCGGGTCTGTTTGTAGGCCATGCATGGAAGAGGAAGGAGTGGCTATATTTCCCCCTGGTTACTATGGAAGCCCTCAAAGTTGGCCATCATCAGGACCAGACTGACTTTGTTATGATTTAGCAACATGGACCAGAACTCGCACCTCACAGTATAAACTATGTCACTCTAGGGCTGGGCGATATGGCCTCAAATCAATATCACAATATATTGGTAACGATAAATGGACGATAACTACGTCACAAGCTGCTCACCCCTTCCCACATTAACTTCGTCTACTTCAGCCGCTCCAACTTTTGAACCGTCCTCCATCTCCTAACCTGTCTTTCCCTCTTTTTTATGGACTGGATGGGGTGGAGTCACATCTCTGATGTAGGACAGCCTCTTAAAGGGACATGAGACCATAGCCTACCTACATACATCCAAAACCAACTTTTGTTTATTTATTTTTTTGACACAGAATATATTGACATGGGCAAAATGACGTTGGTTATTGTTGTAAATTTTGGTATTTTTTGGTTTATCGCCTAGCTCTAGTTCACTCCACAGAATCTCTGTGAATTTGAGGGAAACAGCCACACACTGACAGCAAAATAAGTAGAAATGCAATTTCATATACATAATTACATTCAAATTAGTATGGGGTTACCTGTTTATATAAAACTTCACCTAAAACGAGCCTTCTGTATCTATTTAAGGAGTAGGTACCACACTACAGAGGTCGGCATCCTGCATCATGTTTCAGCAGTAAAACAGACAAACTTGTAGGAGCCGCACATGTTTTCAGTATTATTGGGTGGCCTCTAGAACAACACGGTTTGGAAAATGAAGTAGAAGAGAGTGGTCGTTCTTGTTGGCAAAAGACTGATATAACATTTTTGAAAAATGCAACCCTTACAAAACCAAAGAAATTAGAGTGATTTGAGATTATACTGAAAAAAAAAGTCGCCAATCAACACTTTGAACTTTTATTTCTTGTATTTCATTTGACTGACATATAAAGTTAAGGTTTCAGTTGAAGCAGATATTTTTCTCTCTTCAAAAATAACCACCAGATGTTTGCGTTCACAGAATTGGCGAGAGAGTAAAACAACACAAGACCTGTAATCGACGTTTGATCGCTTTTAGATGTCATCTGCTAACACTTTTGTGCTTCTGTACAGGCTCCCTGGGCACGGCCGGACGAGTCTGCAACAAAACGTCTCGCGGTACAGATGGCTGTGAGGTCATGTGCTGTGGGCGGGGCTATGACACCACCAGAGTCAAGCAAATCACCAAGTGCGAGTGCAAGTTCAAGTGGTGCTGTGCAGTAGAGTGTAAAGACTGTGAGGAAGCTGTGGACATACACACGTGCAAAGCCCCCAAACGAGCCGAATGGTTGGACCAGACCTGAGGACATTCACTCAGCCCTCTGTGATTCGACCCCACCCCTTTACCCCTTTACAGGACGTCCTGTGGAACACAGCAATCTGGGAAAAAATTTTGTCCGAAAGTGCTCCGCATCTTCGCCCTCCCCTGCCCCCACCTTGGTTCATCATTGCATGGCTTTTCTACCTGTCTCTGTGAAAGCACTACAACTTGGTACCCATCAATATGAAGTAATACCATAAGCCTCTTTTTGTGAATGACCCTCTGACTGTCGCGCTGGGATCAGATAAAGATCGATGAACACTTGAGGAGTGGATAAGGCTTTCATGAGAGTCTCAATCAGGACAGCCTCTTTTATAGCGTATGGTATTGGGTCACAAATTTGCTGCTTTCATGATGCTATAAAGACACATTTTTACATAAACTGAGCCTTTAAACATATCCAGTATTATTACAACAACATCATATAGTCACATTTTTTTCCTTTTTTTTTTTATCCCGGGGGAGAAACACACTTTTATTTACCAAAAATGAATTCTTGGTTGGACTAGCTTGACAAGTGCACTTTGATAAGTGGACATTTTATGAGTAAAGTTTGGCTCTATGCGGCCAAACAAGTCCAAAAAGAGGACTGTGAATGGACAAGGAGATGGACTAAACGGATGGATACGTCAATGGAACTTTGAATGCAACTGTAAAAAGTAGAAAAAGTTGTTTAAGTGATTTATTTAAAATGCAAAGAGTTTTTTTTTTTTCAATTCTCATCTGTAGATGAGACTGCACTACATTGGCTGAAATGAGTTAAGAGAAGAGCAACCCCACCATTATATCCAACATGTACTCCGGCTTTGGGTGACTACAAACTGCTGCTGAAAAGAAGAAAAAGAAGAAAAGGAAGAGTGCCCGGATGGTCATTCAGTCACACATAACCACAACATCAGGCAGATTTTACTTCTCTGCTCTCCAGCTTGCTTGTATAACATTGTGTATATTGCCTTATCTAAACAGATGTTCATATGAAATATATGGTGCATTAGTATGACACTGTGATCTTTGTTTTTTGTCCAGGCAAACAAAACATAGAGGTTGAAGGCAAAAAATAGATTAGATAGTGCAGACAGAGCAGAACTAATCAGTGTGACCGAGCAGGGAAGTGAGTAAGTTTCCTTTGCACTGCTGTCATAAGCTGCTGTATTATTCCCATCACACACACACACGTATACTCACACACTCACACACACCATCCCTGGTTCAACCGGCATGAGCTGAGAGACACTGGGGTATAATAATACAATCTGTGTCAGTAACAAAGGCTGATTCTATGTGAGTTAGGGTGGGGTGAGTTATATCAGTCCAGGGGAGGGAAGTGTTTGATTAAAGGACCAAACCAAACCTCAACCCCTGCTGGCCTCATCCCACCCCTCGCTATGTGGAATTCCAGGTGGGTCCCAGGCTAATGACTAGATGGCTGTAATTACCCGGGGCTGTTGATAGCTGGTGATTGGACATGGTTGTGCCACAGAGGACCTAGTGTGGGCTCCTGCTGGGACCACATTTAATCAAAGGCTTCTTGGCCGGCTTATCAAAGGGAATACTTTCCAGCAATCTTCTCTGCTTCGGCCCCTCTGCTCCCTAGACTCTCAGTCCTTCTCTGGTCTTTGTTATATTAGAGCCCAGGGACTCCTGATAATGTGAGAAGAAATCTTCAAAAAGATATTGCACAGACACAGAGATAAATACTGATTTTTTCGAGCGTCTGAACGATGCAGAATTGATTCATTGCCATTTTACTCGTCAAATCTCTGAAGTTCAAAAATGAGACAAAGATTTATCGAACATTACGAACATGATCAGCTCAGTACAAAACTATAAACATGCTTTCACCCGTATATATTTGTACGAACAAATCTCTGCATCGCTGCACTCTGATCTACTAATATGTAACCTTAAAATAAACCCCTCATTATTATCAAAGCCCTTCCTCTTTCTACTAAAAAACAACTTTGCACCACTTTTCTGAAACTGGATCACATTTGGACATGGCTTTTGCTCCATTTTCCACAATTTTCCACAACATGTGAACTTGCCATTGTTGTATGAACACCAAGAATCTTGAAATTTAACTCAAGAAAGAAGAAAATGTAACACAAAACATCACAACAAAATTGCTACAGGCCTAAAGTCGGCACTTTCTGTAGCATGTTTTCTTTTATTCTTTGTAGTATGTCCTATAATGACTTTATAACGGGTCTGTTGGAGTATTTTTTCAGCTGCTAAATTTCCTTGCTGGGCTGTTTCTCTTTTGGCCGGTGTACAAACCTCCACTTATGTAGATACTGCTGCGGGCTTCAAATCCTCTCACCTGTGTTGGTCAATACAAACTGGTGATACAGCCTGAAAAGGGATGCAGCTGTTTTTAGGCCTGACATAGAAAATATGAGGCACAAACATATATACGGAAGCTGAACTAAAACCATTACTCCTTTAACTGTATACTCAAAGCTTTAAATGGGACGATAAAGGGCTACTCGTAATTCATCTACTGCATCTGCCCCAAAAAGAGCCCTCAGTATCCTCAAAGTGGTCTCTGAATAGCCACAGGAGGCCCATATCATTGGATAAGATAAGCTTTATTGTCCCTGGGGGTAATATTATCAAGTCATTCCAGTCATGGAGACTATTCTTGTGCCAGCTTCTTGTGGCAGCGTCTGTCTGTGTCCTGGATGCCAGGCTGAGAGCGCTCCTGTTCAGTATCACACTTGAACCATTAGTCTTCTTGGCTGCAGGCAAATGTTACTTTCCTCTTGCACTGAGCAGCAGAAATTTGTTACAAATTGGATTTTTTTTTAGATTTGGCTGTCAGGTCTTTGTAATTTCTAATCAGTAAACTCAATGAAATGTGGAAATTGAATCGCAAGATCAGAAATTAGAAGATTCACTGAGAACAAAAAAAAAAAAGGTCAGATGGTTGTACTAGGTTTAAATTTGAGAACAAGCTGTTAGGAGGATAAATCATATTCAACCTGCAGTAGTTGTGCAATGCATGCAGGATTCCTGTCAAACAAGGTATTATTGTGTACTTTCAGACATTATAGAAGTACTTGCTTGATTTAGCATCCAATGACGGGATTTGGATGATCTGTTTGCTTTTTCAGTGCCTCTCTGAACATCTTATTTGCTCTCATTATTAGCTCCTAGTTTCCATATTTTCCAAAAGAGTAACAGCTGTTAAAAGCTACATAATAAGACCCACGTTGAATTGAATCACAAATATCTTTTTATTCTACTACAATCTGACAGAGAATATCCCTAAAACTAGACAGTTAGTACTTCAGATTGTAGAAGTAGTCCAGCTGAAGGTCTTGTATTTCTGACTCTGTATAAAGTTGTCCTCTGACACACACAAAGCTACGGTATCTTTGAACTATCAGCTACACAGACAGACAACACACATGGCCCCAATCATTTATTCAACATCATCACAGTTATTCTCAACCGTGTCAACATATTCTTCTCAGCTCTCTCTCTCTCTCTGTCTGGGCACTGACAGTTACGTAGATTTATCAACCGTATGTCCTGGCTGTAATGCATGTTAGTCTGAGCTCTGGTTGCCAAATGACAACAACCCTCAGAATAGAGAATGAACTCTACTTCTGACAGGACCAGGCCCAATGCCTAGACTGTTTTGGCGCTGTTTTTAACATGTAGTCCAAAGATTCATCTATGACTTTCAGATTAAGGCGTAAAACAGAGAAAGAAAACAGCCAATCAAATGGAAAGCTGAAGGTTCGATGGAAATGACTAAGGTAACTGCAGACGTGTTTATCAGCAGATCTTAATCAGAGCAGAGAGAACTGCTTTCCCTACAATTCATCATCATTACTCGGCCCACCTGCCCCCTCTCTTGCTTCTTGCCTCCAATACGGGCTTCTGTCTGTGGGAAACTTGCGGGAGACCCCACCAACAATATTCACCTTAGGGTGGTCCAGGTGTCAGCCATGCGATCTGTTGAACACACATATCCACATGTACATACCTGCAGGCAAGGACAGAACCCCACAAGTCGCCCCCTGAGCTCACCTATCCCCCATCTAGTAAAAACACCCAGAGTGCTAACAGGCCCTTCGAATCTGTCACTCAGTGTTTGTGACCAGAAGGTGCAAGCAAACATAAAAGTGTGCATGTTAGCGTGTGGTGGGATAAGTTACCCCTCAGGGCTGGTAGAACCTGGGCTGTTTTTTTCAGCACAGGTTGTAAAGGGAGTCTGACGGGGTCAGGGGTCCTAAAAGTTTAGGTGTATCAACAGAGAACCTTCTGTGCTATGAACAACCACAACTGATCCATCTCCTGTTGACACCTCCTAAACACCAACGTCCTGCTCATGTAGCTAAGCTCTTCTCTGGCCGACCAGCAAAGAGCTTAACTTATTCTGAAGAACACCTGCTCTGCCGGATTAAAATCTGGCCAGCAGCAGAGCTGCCTAAAGTGTCAACTTGTCCATTTAGCTTTCATCATTTCACTTTCTCTCTGATGTTGTGGGTGTGAGACATTAGGTATTAGGTGGGAGAGCTTTGTGGGGAACAGGTTTTGGTTTGGAGGGTGTGGGTGCAGATTTATTAGGGAGCTCAGACTAATATTTACATGACCTGCCAAGACCCGAGGGGTGTAGAGAGGGAGAGAAAGTATTGCTATGAAGCGCAGAGTCTGCACAGTGAAAATGGGGATTACGACACAAAACACTTATCTTCTGAGATCTACAGCACAAAATGTCCACCCATCACCACCCTCAATCAATCCCCACCCCAAGACCCCCACCTTCGATAACTGCCTCATTTGCTCTGTCATCTCCTACAATCAGTGTTGGGCAAACTTCTTGTAAAATGTAGTGAGCTAAGCTACCACTGACTCTCCAAGAAAAGAAACTTCACTACACTTGAGCTACTCTTGTGTCTAACTAAAGCTGTCACAAAGCAGAAAAAGTCGGTTACTACAACAAAACTATTTCCTCTCTGAATGTCAACTTTTTTATTAATTCTGAAAAGAGCAGCGCTACACAACGCTATTGTTGGGTTAATGATGTAAGCACGCAATTACCTGAGAGGTAGATCGTCCAATTAAGTTTGATCTGACCAGTCTTCAAAAGGCTGGGACCCTCAGAGGCTTCAGCCCCTGGACTGGGACACAGCTAATGACTTACAGCTAAGACTTCCTCTCCTGTGTGGCATTTCTGTCTGTAATGTGACCCGCTTCATTTTTGGTCCATTACACTCCTTGAGAAGCATCCCATCATCTGTATTAAACAGGTCTCAGTCCAGTAGACAGTTACACACAAGTTTCTCCAGCTCCTACTTTAACTGCATGAGCTAAACATTTATCCGTATGTTGCGTCTCCAAGGTTTGCCAAATAGCATCATGAAAAAGATTTGTAAATAGTAAAAATATAAAAAAACTTTGTCAGGTATTTCTTTAAGAGGGAAGGACATCAACTAACCGATTGTTTTTTTTGTTTGTTTGTTTTTTTTTACTACTTAAAGTGTTATCAGTGGTCTGTAAATTGTTACTATGAAGTTTTTAGCCAAAATCTCAATACCAGTGTCATTTTCAAGGACTTTACTTCTGCAGAGCTCCAGTAGCTCATTAGCAATTTGCCTCTGAGTGGTGGGCGGAATGGCGCTGCTCTGCACACTTCTCCTCAATTTAGCTTGCAGCATAACATTGTTAGTGTAGTAGAAGTAGCAAGTAACATAGGAGCTCTTCGGCTCTTGGACACTAATGTCTTTCGGGGCATGATGAAAGCTAATGCCATAATTAGCTTCCTTACGAGCATTTCAATCCGCTAACGCAGGAGCTTGTTCTGCAATCTTCCTCTCTATTTCTCTGAGTCTGGCCTGCATACTGGGGCTCGGCGGGCGGAGCTTGAATTGGTTACATAGGAAATCTCACTGTATCTGACCCTGCCGTTTGGGTCTGCCAGAGATTTGCAGCGATTTGAATGCAGAAATACGATAAAAAGGCAATTTAGCACTTTTTTTCTCATATTTC